GCCTACTTCTCCCTCTCCCACTCCCCCTGCTTGTGTTCCCTCTCTCGCTGTCTCTCTCTTTCTCTGCCAAATAAATAAATAAAATATTAAAAAAAAAAAAGATATGGTTTCTGAACACTTGCACCCAACCTTTGCATTTCAATCTTATTCCCACCTGAACTGTAAGAGATCTCAGCCACGTGAAGCACCTACTTGAACAGCGGCTCATTGGTGTGCTGGCACTGATGGATTCTCAGCTGCTGGTGTTTCTTAAAGGCCTTCTTACAACCTTCAAAAGTGCACTGTTTAATAAAAGTTCATTAGTCTGGAGAAAAATCAAAGAACCGTTCACAAGAGAATTCCCTCAAGATAAACATACTGTGGAGACTCTGTACTTGCTACTTGCTCCCATAGAGTTACTGTCAAATTCTAGGCCAGGCGGCTTTAAAGATGAACACATTTGAAACAGCGAAAGTGTTTCATTTTGGGGCAGTCTACCAATAATAAACTACATTAGCACAAAAATGTTTGTTTTCAAAATAAGTTGCTATTATGACAGCTAGTAGTTGGGCTAAATTCAGGTATTTGGCAGACAAAATCTGGTTGATGAGCATTTTAGAAACATAGACAATAAGCATAAAAATATTCAGAGAATTTAAGCATAGAAAATCATTCATACTTACTACATATTGTTTTTGCTGATTTTCATGCTTGCGTTCAAAATGTTTCTTCAAGTTTGATTTTGTGTTGAATTTTTGATCACAACCACTAGCTGTACAACTGTAAGAAATTGTGTAAATCAAAATGTTAACAAGCCAAAGGAAGGGGGTTTTTAAGATGCCTCTATCCTCCAACTTTCTAAAAGTACTTTCCAAAGTACAGTATAAAACAGTCTTTAACAAATTCCGAAGTGCTAAGTCAGTGCCAGCCTCTCAACTCTGATATGATTACCATGTAATGAGATGCACTTTCATGTCAGGCCCTGAAATGAAACACAGTGCATCAGACATGCTTAATGAACTGGGCAGAGGGAAAGTTCCAAAAGCCCAAACCCTACTTAGGCTTAAATCGTGTTTAAGTTAAACTGTTCTCAATTTAGAATCTGATAACCTTAATTTTGCTTGAAATGTCACAATAAGTTGAATTTCCAAAAAAACCCTCAAAAACACTAGTTTCAGCTTACCATCAGAGGTAAAAACAGATATTTAGAGCAAAACCACAAACCATTATGCCCTCTGGCATATCATCAAGCCATTTTAGTCCCCCTTAATGAGCGTTTCTATATCTTGCCCTTGAATTATCTAAATTCTTTGTGCAGCTGCATTTTTTTAATGTGTGCTCTTCTTGTGATGAGTTCTCCTAAACCTGGTGGATGAAGCAAGACTTCCTTGAGAGCCCTAATCTCAGCTATCATTCACGGATAAACATTGGATAATAGTCCTGTCGGGCACTGTGCTATCCACAGGGACAGGCGGAGACACCCGGGCTGACAGTGCGCAGGGGCCGTGGAGCTTTGCCCCTGGAAGCACACGGGAGGGGCGCTGTGGCGGAGACTACTAGAAATTCCAACAGATGTTGTCTTTGGCTTCAGGAACAGAACGCAGAACAGAACCCAGTTTTAGCTGGGTATGCGATCAACAGAAATAAGAGCTTTTTCCAGCCTTCCTTGCAATTAGGGGTGGCCACACGGCTGTTTCGGGCCCATCCTGTTAAGCAACCACAAAGTGTCTGAGAAGGGGGCACACCGCTTTTGCTCCTTCGTCCACCCTGGTGGCTGGAACGCCTATGTGACAGCTGGAGCTCCGGCAGTCCTCTTGGAGCATGATGTCAAAGCCCCAAGGTGAAGATGGCAGAGACAAGTTACAAGGAGCCCAGGACCTCCTGACTGTGGAATACCCCTTAACTGTCCCCCTCTGCACTTCTGCATTTCAGTTAAGCAAGAAAAACAGAGACTGTCTTGTTTAAGGCGCTACTTTTCCTGTCACTCTGGACTTGAATCCTGACCCAGGCATCTAACCCAACACAAGTGTGGGGCAAGAGGACAGGGCCCGGAAACGTCCTGACAGGAAGCAGACAGTAAGCACAGGGACCCAGAAGACGCAAGCAGAGTTGCAGGAGGTGCTGCTGGTCAGTTAAGCACTGCTGGACCACAGTTTCATGTCGGAGAGTCAAGCAAATGGGGCAAGGTCATAAAAAGGCCAGGTCACCAAGGTCATTTACACAACATACTAAGATCCTGGACTTTGGTATGAAAGCCACGCTGAAATCCCGTGCCCAGCTTTAAGAAAGGAAGCAGTCTGGAGGCGGAGAAAACACCATTCAAGTGGGAGTAAGAGCCTGGAGTAAGACCGTGGCAGCTGGAGGAGGGACAGGGTCTGAGGGAAGAGTAACAGAACCTGACGAGCTGCCTGCTGGAGAGGACGACTGTGAGGGTGGGGCGCCCCGGGGAGCGGCCTTGCCTCTGCTGCGGGTCGTCGGGTAGACAGGGATGCCACCCGACAAGAAGGAGGGAGAAGAAGACCGAAGGAAGCAGAGCTCAGACTGGACTGGGAGGGATTCTAGCCACAGGGAATTTAAGGAGCCAGAGAGCCAGCCCAGTAACACTGTCCAGCTGGGGACCTGGAGCTGAAGACAGGCCGGGCGAGAGACAGTGCCGGCGGGGATTACCACAGAGCTGCCTTGTTCCAGAGGGAAGAACCCTCAGCTCTCCCATTCACCCTGTGCATCTGTACCCAGCCTGTGTTCCTTGAAGATCTCGTCTTTTAAATAGTATACAGTAACTTAGCTCAGAAACCAAAAAGCATAAAAAGGGACACAGTTGCATGACTCCCCACCACTCCCAGGCGACGTTTTTGGTTTTATTAAGTAACCTTTAGAGTCTTATACAGACAGAAGCAAATATAAATGCAGCCTCTTCCTGTCCACCTCTCTCTCCTCCTTTTTACACACAAAACGGCAGCCCTCTGCACACACTCTTCTGAACCTTGGGTCTTTCAGTGAATATGCCTTGGAGATTCTGCCTCCCAGACAACATGTGCATACGTTTTCCCAGCTGTAGAGTACTCTACTGTGTTGGTATGCTCTTCAGTCCCTCGTGACGAGCACGCGGGTTGATTACAATGCTCCGTGACTCATAGTGTTGCACGTAACCTCGTACATGCATGTAATACAGGCACGAGTGTATCTGTAGAATAAATTCCCCAAAGTGAAACTTCCATGTCAAAGACCATAGCCCAGCTCTATTTTCCAGTGACGCTTAGTTACTCTTTGCTGGGCTAGCTGAACTACATTTTGAAATCCATTAGGCTTCACTTGGGGTCATTTATTTTGATGATACACTGTGTTCGTGACTGGGGGCTGAGATAAGGACATCTGCCCCCTCCGTAGTTTGTCCCGTTCCTGCTGGCTAGCACACTGGTCACACAGAGAGGTGGCTCTCCACGTGGAAAATGACAGCGAAGGTGATCCCCTATCAACAACTGACAACTCACCTCCTCAGACTGTTTGGACCCTAGTGAGACACAAGACACTTCACCTTCACCATCATCTTAAACTAAAATAAATCAACTCAGATCATTAGAAAACCTTACGGCGCGAGGAACTGTCTCACAGAACACAATTATGATATCAAATTCTTAACATCTGCAAAACCTGCCACACAGCTAGTTCTCGACATAGTCTCCTATATGTAGCTCTGGATATCTAATAAATTATTTTTTTCAATGAAAACTAAGTGTTTCCATGGAACATTTTGTTCAGTGGTTCTCCAAGTATGGACGCCAGACCATAGCATCATCACCTGGAAACTTGCTAGAAATGCAGATTCTCAGGCCCCATCCCCTACCTACCGAATCAGTAACTCCGGGGTGGGATCCAGCACCCTGTGTTTTTTTTTTTTTTAAATAATTTTTTATTGTTATGTTAATCACCATACATTACATTATTAGTTTTTGATGTAGTGTTCCAGGATTCATCAGCACCCTGTTTTTAACAAGCTCTCCAGGTGATTCTTATGCTCCCTAAATCTGAGATCCACTGCTTTAAAGAAGTAGTTGATTTAAAAGACAAGCTGTACCTCCATCCTTGCAGAAATAACCAGCAACTCCAAGAAGAATAAAGCCTGGTGTGGGAGAGGTGCAGGGGCTTACTTTGAAGAAATACTAGATAAAGCTATGAAAAGCTCTACTTCTTCATGCTTCTGTCTCTTATCCCGGCAGCTTATTTATTGGTTCATAAAGACCCTGTACCTGTGGAGCCAAGACTCTGCCAGGGAACCATTATCCCATCTGGTCTGAACAAAGTGTCTTTTTGGGGTGGATTTCCCAGTTAGTATATACTTTAAAGGGAAAAGAGAGGATGCAAACTCAAGAGAACTTCAGATAAACTCATGCCTGAAGTTATCACACATGAAGGGTGCACAAAACCCCCTCCTCTCCTCCACACATTCAAACCCAGTCTCCCCTTGGACCAAGAGATGCAAATGAGAGGAGCTGCACACTCGTGGTCTTGGACGTGAACAATCCATTTTCTTACCAGGTCGACATGCCAAACACAACCACTTCAAAGGCCTCAAAACTCTTCTCTACTTACACAAACAGCTTTTCCCCAGTGTGAATCAGGATGTGGCGGCTCAGATGGTAGTCCCTGACAAAGGCTTTGCCACACCCTTCATGGTCACAAACGAACGGTCTCTAGCAGGAAGGAAAGAAGAAAAACATGTCAATCCTGCCCTAGTTAGTAACGCCGGCATTATTTAAAGACCTAAAATGTGGATGCTGCCTCCAGAGATGGTTTCCACTCAGTAAGTGCGGAGCACCGTGGCTAGATAATGTTTTACAAATGCTGCAACTTTCTCACAAAGGCGGTGCGGCAGATTTTGTTCTATGAATAGCGTATGAAATAAGCAGGCAGCCTTCACAGCAAGCGACAGCACTGCTAACCTGCTCCTAACCGGACAACAGGCTGCAACGGCACCCCCCGAAGATGACCTGTCTGCATGTCCTACGTGCAGGTACAGCGTGGCCTATATGCACGCATCTCCACCATTAGAGTGTTTTTATCCATTCGAAGCCTAGGCAGAGGAACATGGAGGTTCGGTCTCATCCCGGACAAGCCCAGTATCTGTGCTAACAGAATGCCTGGCACACCTCCAGGAAGATGTTCACAGATGTCCGCGCAAAGCAATCAGCTCCTAGCCTAACTGCAACCAATACTTAGGACCCAGGAGGAAGGGTCTCCATTCTGAACCTACAGGAAAAGTCAAAAACATCCCCCAAATAACCAGTTTTGTTTACTTAACTATGAAAAACATAACCCCTGGCAGTCCAAGAGGGAGGTACCAAGGCCTCAAATGTTAGTACCAGTAGCAAAGCAAGTTAAGACAGGAAGAGAGAAGAGTTGTATGACTGCGGGAAGATCCACAGAACTTTGCACAGGATTTCTAAGTCTTTCTTTTTTTGTTTTTGTTGTTGTTTTAAAGAGAGGGCAGTTTATTGTCTAGAGGGCAGAGCTGAGGGAGGGGTTGCAGAGCTACTTCCCCCATGCCCCAAGGACACAATCTATCTTTCCCCTGGGCCATGGCTCTGGGGGTGACCCACAGAAGGGAGAGGAGGCTCATGCTGCCCCAGGGGTTCTCAGGGAAGGACACAAAAGTGACCACATGCTTCTCTACTTGGACATACAAGTTTCAGAACCCACAATTTGAGGGACAGAATGGGCAAGAGAAAGCGCAGGGTGGCAGAACTTAATGGGTGTTTTGAGTGAAGACAGTCACTGGGTAAGACTGCCAAGACAGCTGGGGGGCATGGGTAAAGTCAAGGGCACAAAGGAGCCATGAAAACAGTCAGTGAAGAAGAGAAAAAGAGTTGGAGGAAATGATCAACCTTCCAATGCCGGAGAGGATAAGGAGGATGGGGGCCATGAGGACACTTGAAGGAATGGCCCCTAAGTTACATAGGTGCTAGGAGCAAAGGCAGGGGCTGCAGGTCCCTGGTTTAAGAAATTAAGGGCCTTCAGGGGCAGCTGGGTGGCTCAGTCAGTTGAGCATCCGACTCGATTTCAGCTCAGGCCGCGATCTCAGGGTTGTGAGATCCAGCTCGGCACTGGAGTCTGCCTGAGGTTCTCTCTCTCTTTCCCTCTTCCCCTCCCCACCATTTTTTCTCTCTCTCTCTCTCTAAAATAAACCAATCTTTAAAAGAAGGAAAGGGAAGAGGAAAGGTCAAGGGAAAGGAAAAGAAAGAAATTAAGGGCCTCCTGATGAGACAGTGTGAAGCCAGGCTCTGTCAAACATTGGGAAATTGGGCAGATTCTTTGGCCTCCATGAGCTTCCCTTTCCCCAGGGGTCATCTTCCAAAGGCTTCCTATTGCCCTCAAAGTACAACCCAAACTCCAAACCCTATTTCTACCCTGGCCTACAAATGATCCCACCAGACCTGCTTCTCAGACCTCTTCCTGTATAGTCCCCAACTCAATCACACCCAATCGCAGGTTCCTTTTCTGCCCAGACTGTTTTTCCCTTATGTCTGCAGGATTGGATCTTTCCCTTCTCCTTCGGGTCAAGAGAGACCTTTCCTGACCATCCTCCAGGAGCTGTCAATTTACTGCATCTCATTCCTTATTCCTTTGCCCCAGTTAAAGCATAAGGTCGGTGACAGCAGATGCCTTGTCTGTTTTGTTCACTACTCTCTCTTCAGGGCTAGAAAGGTACTTAATTATGGAGGAATGAACGCATGCTGCTTGCCAAACCTCCAGTACTTAGAAGTCATCCTCCATTCCAGTTCTAGGAGGCCCGGGATTAAGTCAGGTGTCTGTTGGTAAGCGTAGGGGATGTAGAAAGTATGAGAGTAAATGAATCCTTCCTCTGCACGTATTTACAGATTATCGGGAGGTGATGACTGGCCAAGACTCAAGATCAAAGGGGAAGTGGGGGTTTGGTAAGCCCCCAGCCCATGACAAGGATATCTCGGTCTCAGAACGTGTCTACCTCTCCTCAGCTCCTCCCAAACCTAATGCTGAGCTGGTTCGCCTCTGTGATCCAGGGTGCCAAAGCTGAACATGTCTTACACAGGCATGTGCACCCACGTGCTGCCCCGGGCCTCACGGACAGAGCCCGCCTGGCGGGCCACCGCGTCATGAGTCCCTGGGCCTGGACGCCACGCCCCTCCGCGGCCTGGCGGGCGCCCGGTTACCTCCCCGGTGTGCTTGCACAGGTGCGCGTCTAGCTTCCAGGCCTTGTTGTAATTGGCGCTGCAGTCAGGAAAGGAGCAGATGAACCTCCTATTGAGCGCGGAGGGCGGCGGGGCGGGGTTCTCGCCGGCCGCGACGAAGGCGTCGGCGATGGTCAGGGATGACACGGCCTCCGCGACCGAGGCCGGCGGCTCCAGGGCGCCCGGGGCCGTGGCTCAGCCACGTGCCCAGAGGCACGTGCAGCGAACCCGGAGAACTCTACGCGCAACCCCGCCGCACTTCCGGGACCGCGACCCCAGGGAGGCGGGACGGGAGCGCCGGCGCGCGCGCGCGAACAACAGGCCCCGCCCCCGCCGGCGCCACATTTGCGCATGCTCCGGGAAGCCGCTTGTGGGTTGGCGCCCCTCCCGCGCGCGGCCCTGGGGGTCGTGGTTTCCTGTTCCCGAGCAAGAGTCACCTTTACCTAACCCGCACTACAGAGCAGGAGGCGCAGCTGGCTTGTGACCTGTCTCCCACCCGCCACCACCCTCTGCAAAGCACTAGCCGTGCATAATTTAAACTAACTTGTCCTCACATTATTGGTTTGTCTTCTTTATGGATCTGTTTGGTCGTATGCTTTCTACGTGCTCCCTAAACTTGGCTGCACTTTAGATAATCATGTGGAGTTCTTTTACAAATTGCAAACCCAGAGCATACCCTGGACCAGTTAAACCACAATTTCTGGAGGTAGGAAATAGGAATCAGAAGTTCTGGAAACGCGCCCAGCGATTCCGGTGTGCAAGAAAGTTTGGAAACCACTGCCCTAAGCTAAGGTCTTTGCCTCTCCAAGTGTGGTTTGCGGACCGGCAGCACCATTAGAAATCAGAACCACAGACCTACTTGAATCAGAGCGATCTCCAGGTGGTACGATGCACATTAAAATTTGAGAAGCGCTGTTTACAGACTTGAATGAATATAGGTGTCTTGGTTTACGAGGATCACATGTTTAACGGCTGTCCTTGAATGAGAGTAACAATGACGGGATGGATTGTCTGATGTTCTGCCAGGTGTGTGTGTGTGTGTGTGTGTGTGTTTTCACATCCTGCATCATTCTAAATCATGAAACAGGTCTTTGTCAGAGGGTGACGAACAGGTCCCTGCAGAGAAGTGCAGTTTGGAAAATAAGCCAGGGCTTACTGGCCAGCCCTGATCTGGGATCCTCACATAGTATTCCCTCCTGAGCTCAGTCCCCTCATCTTTACAGTGAAGATGATGATAATAATGCCTGTCTCAGGGGGTCATGAGGACTGTGAGAGGGTGTCTGGGATGTGGGTGCACCTGTTGCTTTTCTTGATTGCTGCACTAGCCCTGCTCCATGGGACAAGTCCACACACATCCCTCCCTCCCACAACTCGGAGAGTCTTAAATGGTTTCCTTTGTGTTGGTTTGGGCTCATGCCCCCTGCACCCTGGACATGGTACTCTTCGAGATACTCCCTTAGCCTCCTGACCCCATACAGTGCGCCCATGGCCCTCCTCCTGCCTTCTTGACTTTTCCCACCTCTTTTGTTCTCTTTAGTTCTTCCCACCTTCTCAGCTCAGTACCCACATTCTCTTTCTCAGCCCTCTGCTATGGTGTACTATGGTGGGAGAGCCTCCCACTACACCTAACTTTGAGTTCCAAGTTTATTAACTCTAGGAGTTTGGATAGGTTCTTTGAATCTCTTTTCTCACCTTTCAAGTGGACTATTAATACCCACCTCTTATAATCGTTTTTGGAATGAATGAGATTATGTGGACCAACAGTTCCATTTATTACAGGCCACTGTGCTAGGCCCACTGACCACCAAGTTTCAGTTTTCCCAGCAACACTTCATATAAAGCAGCTAATAGGATCCAGGCCATGCCTTTTTCCTTCTGTCTCTTTCTTTCCTGGGAACAGATCCATTGCTCCAACTCTTCCTTTCTGCAGTTTATAGCCCAGTGTATTTTTCCAATGCCCACATTTCTAAATGACAAGTGGATTTTTTTTTTTATTTTAACACCAAGCAATTAATCTTACCTCCTCCATCTGGCTATACTTCCTTCCCTCTCTTGCCCTGTCAACAGTGGTAGAATTCTGTCTCCCACTCATGAAATCTTAGAACAGTGGTTCTCAACCCTGGCTGCACATATGAGAGTCACTTTTGAAAATGATGACACCTGGGGCCTCCAGTGAAATCAGTCCCTGCTCCTCCTCCTTCCTCTGCCCATCACTGGCCTAGCTGACTTTTATGCCTGTCCTATCCATTCTCCTTCTCACGCTCTGTCTAGTTTTTCTGGACTTGGGACCTAGACACCTGAAACAGCCTGTCATGCAGCTGCCAGCCTACCTCCCTAAAACATCTGAGATTTTATAGGTTTAAGTGTGCAAGACTGGTCATTGCAAAGCATTTTCAGTCCTCTTGACTATTATGCCTTGCAGCTCGGGTAACAGCACTCAGGTGGGAAATGGGGGCCCTGAGCTTAGCCCCCCACCAGGCTCCTTCCTACTCTGGACAGGTCAGTTGCTGTTTCCTCTAGATAAGCCTTACCTGATTACTGCAGCCCTCACCCATCTTTTCTGCCTTTGAACTTCTGTAGCCCTTTCCTTCTATGGCACTGAGTAGAAAGTTTTCGAATGTCTGGGTTATCTTTAACTATTCAGGCTATAATTTCCTGTTAACTATTCAGGCTATAATTTCCTGTTTCCCCGATCTTAATTTAATCTCCATAAGGGCAGAGACTGGATCATATTTTGAGTCCTCAATAGCAAGGTGACTTGCACACATTATTTGTTAGTTAAATGAGCACAGCTATGAAGTATTGTGTGAAACCTTAAAAGTTTTACATGAATGTCTTCATCAAGGAATCTTTCTGTGCAAGGAACACTCAAACTAATCTACTTGAAAAGAGATTTAGGGTAGGCATGCAAGGGAACCTCTCTGCACTGATTGCAGAAAGACCTCATAGGATCACCGTCATCCGTAGACAGTTCTCTTCTCAGTCTGACTGACGCTACTTGGGTCTGCTGCCCTCCTTAGCCTCTCTCCGGGCATCTCTTAGACAACTCCAGGAAACCACTTGTCTCCTGTGTAGGTGTATGCCTGGGTGTGTACACGTATGTATGTGTGTATGCGTATGAGTGCATGTGTGCCTGCGTGTGCATGCGTTTTTCCCTTTCCCCTTCTCTCCCAGGCTTCATGCCCCCACAGCTCCAGGTCTCTGGTCATCCTTGTCTGTTTCTCCACTCCTCTCTAGATCAGCTTCTTCTATGAGACTCTGAGTTTCTGGCCTTGTGTCTGCGGTTTTCCAAGGGCTTTGGCTCAGCCCAAGCAGCCCTGATTTTACAATCTGGCCCCTTAACTCCCCATGGCTAATGACTCCTGAAAGAGAATCTTGGGCCCACTGGAGGTTCCAGCTCTTTTCCCCAAGCCCAAACAGCTTCAGCCTGGAAAGGATAAGACTATGCATCTTGTGGGACGCCTGGGTGGCTCAGTCGGTTAAGCGTCTGCCTTCAGCTCAGGTCATGATCCCAGGGTCCTGGGATCGAGTCCCACATTGGGCTCCTTGCTCGGCGGGCAGCCTGCTGCTTCTCCCTCTGACTGCCACTCACCCTGCTTGTACTGTCACTCTCTCTCTCTAACAAATAAGCAAATAAAATCTTTAAAAAAAAACCCAAAAACTATGCATCTTGTAAGTCAAGCCAAAAGGTTAACATAGAATTCTGATATGCCTCTTCTAGCTAGAAAATTGCATTTACTAGCCTCAGCTTTTTATCCACTTTGTTCCCCCCATGAAGGGAGCTGGAGATATTTTCTCTCTCCTTGATGCTAAGCTCAGCTGTGTGACTTGCTTTGGCTTGTAAGTTAAAAGCGACAGTATGCTGGTTCCAAGCCTAGGCCTCAAGAGAATTTGTGTGTTGCTCTCTTAGGCTTCTGGCATTGCCCCCAGGAGGACATTTCTGCTTTAGTCTGTGCTAGGGAGAAGAGAGACGTGAAGAACAAAGCTGAGTCATTCCCCCTGAGCCCAGTGTCGATCAGTCTACCATCAGCTGACCGTCCACCTATCTACACATCTTGACCATAAATGATTGGGAGCCATTATATTGTGGATAACTTCTTACGAAGCAGTTTTGTGTCAATGGCTAAGTTGTACTCTCTTCTCTTGTGCTTTCTCTCAGCCAATTAACATGCTCTAGTGTCTCATCTTTAAAACAAAAACAAAAAAACAAAAACAAAAAAACAAAAACAAAAAACAACAAAAACAAAAAAACTCCTTTATGTCTCTGTGCTTCTGCTATCCATTGCATGGTTTCACTTCTTCCCTTCCCAGCCAAGTCTGAGAGGAATAGTCTGTGCCCTTCTTTCTCTTTGCCTCTTCTTGCTCTTATCATCACCATCATCATCATCTTCAAAATTTTAAGGCTACTTAAAAATAGAGTGAATAGTACAGAGAAACCCCATGGACCCATCACTCCACTGCGACAACCATCAATTCGTTTTCATTCTAAATGCCTCCATCCCCAACTTTCCCCGTGCTTTTTTTTTTTTTTTTGCTGGACTATGTAGATTTTATTTATTTATTTGACAGAGAGAGAGAGAGCACAAGCAGGGGGAGCAGCAGAGGGAGAAGGAGAAGCAGGCTCCCCACTGAGCGGGGAGCCCAATGCGGGGCTCGATCCCTGGACCCCGGGATCATGACCTGAGCCGATGCTTAACTGACTGAGCCACCCAGGAGCCCCTCCTTTAAAGAGTATTTTAAAGCAGTCTCCTACATCATCTCATTTTGAGAATTAGCTCTAACTGCTGATTCTAATTCTATAATCATATCTTCATTCTATTATCAGACCCCGCAAAATGAACGGTAGATCCTTAAAATCCCCTAACACCCACAGACACTTAAACTCAGCACATTTAAAACTTCCCTCCTCTTTCCCTCTCCTCCTCCAGGGCTTTCTGGTCCCAGTGAGTGTGGCCACCATCCACCCAGCTGACTGAACCCATGGCTTCTTCCCTTCTTTCACCTCCTGCATTTGATTTCACCTCCCCATCTTCTGTTACACCCAAGGAAGGCCCTGATCCTTCCAGGTGCCATTGTGGGCTGTGATCCCATCAGAAAAGCAGTGTTCAAATTAGGCCACTCCCCAGCCATTTGGAGAGAATTCTGCTCAGAGTGATCCTCCCCAAAATTGCTCCAGATCCCCCCAGTCCTCCCC